AGTGATATACATACATATGTATGTATAGTAGGAAGCTGGGATAAAGGTACCTATAAACCTTAGAGTTTCTTAATCTACCACCTTTCTACTTCTTTTTTATAGTTTTTGAGTAAACAAATTTTGTATTTAGATAGTTCAGCAAGCAAAATTTAAAGCTTTATTTTGTTCAGACCCGTCCCATACATGCAGGCAACGCTGTATTTTAATATTTTTACACAATGAACGTCACTGGCAATATAAAATATTAAATTTCAATGTTTACAGTTTCTGTGTGCATCTCACCTCAGCAGGTCAATATTTGCCCTCTCATAAAAAGGCCGCAACATGTGCACAACTGCATTCTTAACGCACGTACATACATATATATATAAATATGTACACAGTACGTACGTACTTATATCAAGCCTATGTGCATCAAGTGAAGCACGTACAAACATACGCAAATGTAAATATGCAAAGGGTATTAAAAGTATAAGAAGGAAATTGCGTAAATAGACACTGGCGTAGGAATATTACCCACAAACCCATACCCACTATTTTAGAAGTCCTCAATAGAAAGCAATATGAAGACCACCTAGTCATATGTAAAACTTGTGCATACATAAGTATAAATTTATATAAATACAGTACATATAAAAAATATGAGCACAATATGTTACAAAAAGTAGTATGTGAAATGAATTAAAGAACTCTCTTTTTCACTTTTCCAATTCGTAAGAATTTAAAGCATTATATTGAGCCACATATCGGTTATAAACATTTTTTCACATATTCCATTAATTTTTATCACCAACCATATTATCTTATCTGATGCCGATCTGATCCGATTTTCTTGACATTACACCAAAATACATATAAAGAAAATATGTTTACCCATTTTTATTAACATAATTAACAAATTGGTCGATATAATCGATTAAGTCCACTAGAATTACGACGAAAATCATTATATTCAGTATATGGTACCTCACTCATTTTCGGCTATGAACTACAAGTATATTTAAAATATCACTTAATTTACGTGGTGTCTGATATATATGGTGCAAAGTCAATTTGACTACCGGAAATCATTATATTAGGTATATTGGAACTATCCGATTTAAGTTCTAACACCAGACTACATGATCAACAGAAAGAGATGTTCACTAAATTTCGGTAAGATATCTTAAATATTCATCGGTTAATTGGAAGCCAGCTATGTATAAGCTCGGAACTTCTTATTTTCAATTTCGCACTTCGGCCAGAGGTGTCTCGGGAAGCAGGGCAGCAGTGAAAAATGAAAACTTCACTTCTAGGGGGTGTCAGGGCACAAAGGCATCGAGCACATTGAAATAGTGGACGAGATTGCTAAGAATGGTGTACGTCTATCACCCGCAGAAGCGTGGTAAAGAACACCAAAACTCGATAGAACGAGCTACCTGGGAGTAAAACTGGAAAAGTCATGTGCAGAATGGTAGAACGGAAAAAAAATTCCTATTGGCATGTGATAGAAGAGACTGTACAAATACACGCCCGCAGAATGGAGCTGACAGTTCGAGAAAATTGCAGGAAATATCTACAGGAAGCTTGGGCCCTTGACCGCATTAGCTACGTTGTAAACATATATGTTCCTCACAGAATGAGGTATCGATAATCAGACCAGGTCTGTTGAAATTAATCACATCCTCTTGGACCTAATACCTGAACTCCATCTGATATCGCAAAGGACCAAAACTGGTCTATGCGTGGCTCATTGACTTACCAGACTAACCTAACCTAACCTAAAGGGAATGGTCGTAGTTTTTACTAAGTCTGGTTGACAAAGCTCAAGTAGTTAAAGAGTTATAGCTCACAATTTTCATTAAGAAGTTGTTATGTCAATATATTATTTTCTCACACTGTATACTGTGAGCAAATCTCATTATGCTTGTACCACTAGCTGGAACTGAAATTATGTTAGGAAAAAGGCGTGAATAGAATATCAAATGTGAACGTATTAGCTCACATGTGTGAACATACGAGCACATWCATACATACGTGTGTATATATAGCGTGTGCGCTTTTGTTTTCTGTTTTCGATCGGAACTCAATTTAACAATTGACTGAGTACTTGACAGGTTTACAAACTGTTAAGCATCCCTATTGACGGCGCCAAACAAACACAAAAGAAGTGCGTGTATGCCAACATGACAGTATTTACCAGGATGTGTCTGAGACTACATGTGCAGTGGGTAAATGTTGCTGCACCCTGGCTGCGCTTCCCTGATAGCATTACCACAATTACTCGGGCGGATATGTTGACGAGGGAAATCAGCGATCTATGAAGGTTACCCTATGTGAAGGACACTTATAGGCGACGCAATGTCGTCCTGCTGTGTGTACGCCTAAATATAGGCTATTCAATTTAATACTTTGCACTGTATAGGTTCTGTGTTGCCACCTGTAGCATAATTTCGATCATTTTTTTTTTTATTTTTCTTTATTTGCAATTCAATTTCGTATTGTCCACATTTTGGCAACTAAAAATGTACTAAATAAAAGAACATGTCTAGAAATAAAGATAAAGCGCAAACAAGCAAAAACTATGAACATGGCTCAAGCAAATATTATGCACGATTTAAATAATTTTAAACACAAGCTGGGGCATAATGGCGCTACAGTCTTTCTACAAGTATCATACTCTAGATTCAAGCAGTTAGTAGCTAACTAAAATTTTGAACTTATTTCTGGCATTAAAAGCTTTTAGGCACCAAAAGAGTTGCATATTGATTACATGAACTACATAAACTAAAAATAATTATAAAATAATTATAGTACATAAATAATTAAACGCATGAATCCATTACCTGTTTCCGCAGCATATTAGTAATTTAGTAGATGTTGGTGTATGTATGTATGTTTATTTGTATTGCAAGTTTGCAGATATGTATAATATGAAAAACGTTTCGTAGTAATAGTAAAAATATCATTCATAAAGTGGTAACCCTATCGCAAAATAATTTTGCTCTTGCACATGCCAATTTGACTACCAAAAACACTTTGCATAGCTATCTTTTAATAAATATAATATATGTTAAGCGTAATGTGGACTCACTCATCGATCTCTTCCTCGGAAATGGAGTGACTGTTGCCGCCGAAAAGGGACATCTTGGGTTTTAACGGCAAATCCTCGAACTTAAATATTTCTGTAATAAAATTCGAAATAAGGAAAGCGTTAAATTTTTGCATTTATTATATTACACTGAATAATTCTTAGGCATAGTAGAGTAATAGTAGTTGATTGAAATATTAAGGTTGTCATATACATATTTGAAATTATAAAGTGAAATAACTTTACTTTTAAATCCAAAGACAGTATGTGTCTCAAACTATTGTTGATTGCAAGATAGGTTACTGAAGACTTCAAGCTCGGAACATACTTTTATAGAACCGCCAGAGGTTATTTAGTGACTGACGACCAGATAATAGTATGGCTTGCTGAATCATTAAAAGCATAACACCGAGATGTTGAACCCGATTCTCCAGTCGGCGACGATGGCGCGTACGTTCCATTACCCAACCATGAAGAAGTACGTCTGAAGAACAACCAAACGGTGGGGCCGATGGATTGTCGACATGCATTAGCTTCTTTGTAGAATATGGTCGGAAGAAAGCATGCCCAAAGATTGGAATTTAAGTGTGCTCTGCCCAATCGACAAAAAGAGACCCCACAATCTGCGCCAACTACCGTGGGATAGATCTCCTAAGCATCGCATATAAGGTTCTTTTGATTATCAGTGTGGTTTAGGCCTGAAAAATCAAAAACTAACCAGATATTCACCATACGCCAAAACCTGAAGACGACCCGTGAAAGAAGGATCGACACGCATTACCTCTTCTTTGATTTCAAAGCTGCTTTTGACAGCACAAAAAGTAGCTGCCTCTATGCCGCTATGTTTGAGCTTGGCATCTCCGTAAAAATAACACTCCAGCTTTGAGAGTATTCAGAAGCAGAGGAAGAGGAAAACCTCCACTTTTTTGAAAGGACTAGGTGGAGAATAATACTTGTAATCTCCAATTGGCGCCAAACAGCTGACTTGCTGTAAACTCGGCTATAACCGGGTAAGCGGTGTCAACGCCAATAAATAAGAATAAAAAAAATTTAAGTTTGAGGATATGACTAATTCCGGACATAAACGAGTCTAAAAAGCAGACTTTCTTAAAATTTCACGAATATCTGTCCAGTATAACCTGAGAAATGAAATTTTAAAATTGTTCAATGAACATCAAAATATTTTTTTCATAGGTACAGTTCAATTTAATTGTAAAGTAATATTCAATCACTTCAGCTGGTTGTTGTTTTTTTTTTTTTTTTTTTTTTTTTTTTTTTTTTTTTTTTTTTTTTTTTTTTTTTTGTCGAAATATTCGCAAAAACACTTAGGGTTTCTATGGCTGCTTATAAACCGTTTTTACATATTACCAATTGGATATATTGATGACATGCAATTAAGCGATAAAAAGTATCTAGAATGTAATTTATGTACAATGTAATTACGTACGTACTATTCTGTGAGTTTATATATTCAAGCCTTAATATTTCATTTGGTCACAGCTGTTCGCATCACATGCCATGAACATTAAACAGCCATTAACTGAAATCGAAAGCGCTGCGTCTAGGTAATTGGGGCAATTAAAAAAGGCACTTTTGTAGCCGAGAGTCGGGTATAAGATGGGTATACATATTAACCCAATGCCGAGAATTTTTTGAAAGAAAAAAAATATTGACATTATTTATTTAAATGGAAACGGCGATCACAAAAACAGTTTTTACAATAGAATATAAAAATGCACCTACATATTAAATTTTATTTGGATATCTCAAAAACGAATGCAAAAACTTCATAGCAAATCCATTTCCATCACTCTCTTTAAAGCACTAAGTTGTAAATATTTTTTGAATTTAACTTCTTTTCATTTGTGATTCAAACGGAAACCACAAAATTGAAATGAAACTTTTTAATTCGTATAAATTGCAAACCGTCGCTAATTGGCATTATACAGTAAAAAAATATTTATTCCGCATTATCCCTAGACTAGCCACATAATTTTATTTTCATAACTTTCTATCTATAAACGTGTCGTTACCAAGAGCAATTACCAAGCGGTGCTAAAATTGAAATCGCGTGGTAAACCACAACTTTACGAACACCACTAAAATAAAATTACCAAGAAAGCAAAATTTCGTTGGTTTCAGCGAAATGAAAAGGTTCGCAAACTTGCTACACAAAATGGTTATGCAATTTAATAGTTGTGAATATATTTTTGAGTATATACATTAGAACGGGTCGATTTTTTTCTATAAAATCTCACGGATCATTGTGAACAACATGGCTTAAGATACTATAGACATAAAATCGATTTCAAGCTTAGGATTTTTAAGTTGAATGAAAATTTGCTCGTTTTTGTTTTTGAGAAATCCGAGTGAAATTTAATATGTACGTTTTTTTTCATTCCCTAAATCGACCCGTTCTAATGTTAGGAACGTACATTAAACCAGAACACCTAGCTATGATTTATTACTGAAACCAAGTCTTAACAGTTTCATAATAATAATTAATGTTTCAAGCTGTGTCTCTTTATTTGTTCCTTAGACTTATAAGGTTACTTCGGAGGTGCTTAATAAAATTAGTATGAACGTCAAACGAAAGTGATCCAAACTACTTAACCAACGAACGAAGATCGAAAATGTTGGAAAAATTAAATCATTGCTCAACGTACTCGCTTTAAGCTCGATAAACCTTCCCAGCGAAGCTGTTCGGTACTCTATCCGTCAGAAAAATACTTTTCCTGTGAATCTGCAAAATAGGTCTCCGTGGTAACCTCTAATAAAATGTATGCACGGCGAGTGACTTCTTCAAGTTTTGTAAAGAAAAGAAGTCGCACAAGATCAAAACCGAAGAACACGGTGAATGGGGCAAAAGTGATTAGAGTTGTTCAACCAAAGTAGCTGTGGGAAAGACTTTTTTTCTATAATTGGGTTAATCAGGTTTCGTCGACGGTCACAAAACGACGTTGTTTATACTGAACAAAGATGGCACACATCACGCTGACAGTTTCTCATGAACAATTAGGATGTTCACGATAAGGTGGTTATCGGGTTATGTGGTTATGTGATTAAGTAAACAACAACAAAATACGGTATTACAAAATAACCAAAGTTGACCAACCTAGACCCTTGTTTACAGATTATGTGGTCGTTTGTTTATTTCCAGTGTTAGAAAGTAGTTGGAATTTTACTAAATGGCAGCATAAAAAATAAATAAAACTAAGCGATTGGCATTTCCATTTAGATTTTCTTATTGGAAAATCTGCTATTAACAGCTGTTTATTGTTTACAATCAGCATATTAGAACCGAAATAAAAAGCTTCGAAGAGCATCACAAAGCATCAAAAATCATCAAAAATTATATTAATATATATTAATATTTAATTTAGAACCTGACCCATACACGGTAAAGAATATTGGGGGAACGACATCGTGTGGGTCTTCATCCTCAAAGGTGAAATATACCAGCCGATGTTGCGGCGTTTTTCTGAAATTAGAATTATGTTTCGTCGACGGTCACAAAACGACGTAGCAACTGCTTCGGTTTCAGATTATTAAAGAGCGTAAGAACACTGCAGTGACAAAGTTTAACTGATGAGCTGGTTTTTCATGAGCAAATACGTCGAACACGCAGTGAAGAATATAGGGGGAGAACGGGAGCAATACTTTCTGGGAACGGAGTTCTCAGAGGTGCCCGGTGCTTTGGAACAATGTAGTTTTTTTTTTTCTACAAGAATTGACTACATTCCCGCGTTTGCAATTTTTCGTTAATACGGCGATACGTTAGCTACCACAGCAGGCCAACACAAAATTAAAAGTCCGAATCGGATGTATTCTGATATAGCGTCATCTTGCGCTATTGGCATCAACCGACGCAGAACCTGAGTACTTATCGAGCCAAACTCTCAATGTTGCAGCACCCTTGTCAAATAGTTCACAAAGACATCTATGCTTCAATTCAAATTAAAAATGGAAGTAAAATTGTCTCTGCTATATTAAAAAAAATAACGACAATAACGACGAACTGAGAGAACTTTAAATTTTTGAAGGATTATGGGCAATCAGTAGCTTACGCGTTCCACCCTAATGAAGCATATTTGAATATAAAATGTAAACATTCTGAGCAGCATATATCTGCTTTTATGATTACTGTGTATGTTTTTGTGGCATGTAATAAAAAAGTTACGCAACACTGCAGCAAAATTTTGACAGCATTGCATAGCAAAACTTTACCGTCTGTTCAAAAGCAGACATTTACGATAGTGAGCTGCCATGCTCCACCGACCACCAAATCACTACATGCAACCAACGCACTTCCTTTTACACTTCTAGTGGTAACAGCTCGACAAAATCGCGTACTCACCAACACAACCGAACCATCTACGCTCGCACATATACTAAATTCAGGTGCGCACAAAGGCGTCAAAGTATTCACATTTTAGCCAATTGTTACAGCTGCAACCTGTACAGCGTGTTGCAGGGGTCACATTGTGCGAAGAGAAGTGGTTAATGCTTTTTGTTTTGGACGTAATTAGATTTGGAGGTGCACGTGTCCTTCATGCTGACTTCTCACCTTTTGTCCTGCAAAGAGCGACCGTTAATTTTGCAAGTTGAAATCTCATAAAAGTCGAATTGCCGACACAAGCATTGTAAAGCATTTTTGTTATATAAGTAAATACATACAGGGTGGTCAGTCCTCTTATTATGCCCTGAACTGGATATATTAAGTTTGTCACGAAGTTTGTAGCACCTAGAAGGAAGKGTYGGARACCMTATAAAGTATATATAAAAATGATCRRTRTGTCGARCTTTCTAAAGCAACAACGTAGTCTCCCAAAAAATTKTTCAGATCGGATTACTATATCATATAGCTGYCATACAAACCGAACGATCGATCATGATGAAATGGCAAASSTTACTAAAAAGAAATGTTTGCTGTYCCTATCGGTCTAWRTTTGAAAAACCCTACATAAAAAGGCTTAACTCTATGAGTAAGAAAAAGATGATCTCGCTTTAACAGAATTTTCAATAAGGTCTCTTTAGTAAAAAACGTGAGATTGAGCATTAGTTGACTTGCGAAATTGAACAATTTTTTCGGAG